CCGGGACCGGGAGCGCGGCCGGCCCGCCCGCGCCGCGCCCGGCGCTGCTGTGTTCCCTGCATTAAACCTGCTCTTTTATTTTGGTAACCGCCGAGCGCGCACCGGGAACCGGGCACCGTGTCCCGGGAACCGGGCAGCGCGCACTGGGAACCAGGCACCGTGTCCTGGGAACCGGGCAGCACACACTGGGAACCGGGCACCGTGTCCTGGGAACCGGGCAGTGTGCACTGGGAACCAGGCACCGTGTCCTGGGAACCGGGCAGCGCGCACTGGGAACCGGGCACCGTGTCCCGGGAACCGGGCAGTGTGCACTGGGAACCAGGCACTGGGCAGGGCACACTGGGAACTGGGAACCACGTCCCAGGAACCGGGCAGCGCGCACCGGGAACCGGGCACTGTGTCCCGGGAACCGGGCAGGGTGCACTGGGAACCAGGCACTGGGCAGGGCACACTGGGAACCGGGCACTGTGTCCTGGGAACTGGGCAGTGTGCACTGGGAACTGGGCACCGTGTCCCGGGAACCGGGCAGCACGCACTGGGAACCAGGCACTGGGCAGGGCACACCGGGAACCGGGCACTGTGTCCCGGGAACCGGGCAGCGCGCACCGGGAACCGGGCACTGGGCACCGCACACTGGGAACCGGGCACTGTGTCCCGGGAACCGGGCAGCACACACTGGGAACCGGGCACTGGGCAGGGCACACTGGGAACTGGGAACCACGTCCCAGGAACCGGGCAGCGCGCACCGGGAACCGGGCACTGTGTCCCGGGAACTGGGCAGCACGCACTGGGAACCAGGCACTGGGCAGGGCACACTGGGAACCGGGCACTGTGTCCCGGGAACCGGGCAGCACGCACTGGGAACCGGGCACCGTGTCCCGGGAACTGGGCAGCGGGCTCCGGTAATCGGGAGCCGGGCAGCAGGCTCCGCGTCCCGAGAATCCGGCACCGGGAACCGCGTCCCGGGAACCGGGCACCCGCGTCGCCCCGGCAACCGCGCGGGGGCTGACGGGAGTCCGCGCCGCGACATGGGGCAGGGCGGGGCAGCCGGGCGGGCGGAGCCGCCACCGGAGCAGTCACCTCTCTTAAAAGGGCAACGCCGCGTGCCCGCGCCTCCTCCCCGAGCGGGTCCCGGGGAGCCGCGGCCGCCCCGCTCTCTCCGGGGCCGCCCGCGGGCGGCAGCGCGTAGCAGGGGCCCGCAGAGAGGAGGGTCGGCCGGGTCCTGCCGCCCCGGGGGCGAGGTGGGCGAGGGGAGCGCGGGGTCCCCCCGCGGCGCGCGCTGGGCGGCGTTGCCCCTTTAAGGCCGCGGGCGGTCCGGGCGCGCCGGCGGGAGCGGGAGAACCGGCGGGGCGGGCTGGGCTCCCTCCCGCCGCGGCGGGAAAGTAGGTTGCGGGAAGTGGGGCGGTTGTGTAACGGCGCCCGCCCCCGGCGGCCTTTGTAGGGCGGGCGGCGGCGGGGCGGCCGGGGCGGCGGAGCGGGAGCGCGGAGACCCGGCGGAGCCTCGCGGCGGGAGCGGCCGCTGCCCCGGGCCGCGGCTGGAGCCGGGGGCGCCGGCCCCGCGGGGGCACCGGGGGCTGCGAGCGGCGAGGCCGGGCCCGCGGGCGGCGGCAGCGGCGGCGCCTCGCGCTCGGGCCGGGGGCTCCGGGGCGGGCGCCGCTGAAGCCCCGCGGCGCTGCGGGCCCCGCGCGGCCCCGACCCCCGCGGCGCTGCGGCTGCATGGACTGGTACATGATGAACTGCGAGCTGCTGGCCACGTGCAGCGCCCTGGGCTACCTGGAGGGCGACGTCTACCACCGCGAGCCCGACTGCCTGGGTACGTGCGGGCGGCGGGGCAGGGGGGCAGCACCGGCCCGGGGGGCTCACACACACCCCCCGCCCGCAGAGAGCGTCAAGGACCTGATCCGCTACCTGCGCCATGAGGACGAGACGCGGGACGTGCGGCAGCAGCTGGGGGCGGCGCAGATCCTGCAGAACGACCTGCTGCCGCTGCTGGTGCAGCACGCGGGCGAGCGGCCGCTCTTCGACGCCGTGCTCAGGTGGGCAGGGGGTAGGAGCCCTCCCCCCCCCACCGGCGCGTGCCCCCCTTCCCACCTGGCTCCTGCACATCCCGGCCCCCACAGGCTCCTGGTGAACCTGACGCAGCCGGCGCTGCTCTGCTTCGGCAAGGTGCCCGCGGACACCGCCGCGCGCCACCACTTCTTGCAGGTCACGTCCTACCTGCAGGCCTACAAGGAGGTGAGGCCCCCGGGGGGGCGCGGGGATGGGCCGGGGGGGCGCGGGGACGCCCGGCACTGACCGCCTCTTCCCCAGGCGTTCGCCAGCGAGAAGGTGTTTGCGGTGCTCAGCGAGAAGCTCTACGAGCTGCTGCAGCTGGTGGGTGCCGGGGCACCGCGCGGCCCCCACGCGGGGTCGGGGCGGCCGCCGCGGTGCCCATGGGCGGCCCCTCTGCCCCGCAGGACTGGGAGCAGCGGCAGGAGGAGGACGCGCTGCTGGCCGAGCGCATCCTGCTGCTGGTGCGCAACGTGCTGCACGTGCCCGCGGACCCCGCCGAGGAGCAGGTGCCGCGCGGGGCGCCCAGGGTGGGGTGGGGGGCTGCTCCAGGCACCCCCCGTCCCGTCCCGGTGCTCAGCCCCGCGGCCGCCCCCCCAGGGCGTGGACGGCGACGCCAGCACCCACGACCGGCTGCTGTGGGCGCTGCACCTCAGCGGCATGGACGACCTGCTCAAGTTCCTGGCCAGCGCGCCGGCCGAGCAGCAGTGGGCCCTGCACGTGCTTGAGATCGTCGCCCTCATGCTGCGCGACCAGGTGAGCCGGGCACGGGGCGCAGGGGCTCCTGCTGCCCGCCGCGCGTGGGCACCGATGCATCGTGTCCCCCCGCCGCTCCCTGGCAGGACCCCGAGCAGCTGGCGGCCGTGGGGCAGGGCGGCGCGGGCGCCGAGCGCGGCGAGGACGCGCGGGAGCTGGACGCCCTGCGGCAGCGGGAGCTGGCGGAGCGCAAGAGCCGCGCGCTGCAGCGCCCGACCCGGTGAGCGCGCCCGGGGGACACCGGGGACCCTGTCCCCATGGGGGGACATCAGTGCCACCGCTCACCCCGCGCCCCCCCCAGGCACTCCCGCTTCGGTGGCTCCTACGTCATCCAGGGCCTGAAGGCCATCGGCGACCGGGATGTTGTCTTCCACAAGGGGCTGCACAACGTGAGTGGGCGCACGGGCACCGCAGCCAATGCTGCGGCCGTGGGCACCGGCCTTGGGCACTGCCACTCGTCCCCGTCCTGCAGCTGCGCAGCTACAGCCACGACCTGGGCAAGGAGCCGCGGCGCGTGCCCAAGCGGCGGCTGGCGGCGCGCGAGGCCGAGGCGCCGCGACGCTCCGCGCGCAGCGTCCGCCTCTTCCTGCACGGCTTCTGCCAGGACTTCCTGGAGAGCTGCTACAACCGCCTCATGTTCCTGGTGAAGGTGAGCGGGCGGCGGGCGCCGGCACGGCCGCACGGCACCGGTCCCAGCCCCGCAGCGCCGGTCCCAGCCCCGCGCCGCCCCCAGGACCAGCTCCTGCGCGAGCGGGCGCAGCAGCACGACGAGACCTACTACCTGTGGGCCACGGCCTTCTTCATGGCCTTCAACCGGCGGCGCCGCTTCCGCCCCGAGCTCGTCTCCGAGACGCTGGGCGTGCGCGCCTTCCACTTCATGGAGCAGAACCTCACCACCTACTACGAGATGGCGCTCATGGACAAGAAGGAGGCAGCCACGTGGGCCCGCAGGTGCGAGCGTGGGGCTGGGCAGCGCCGTGGGGCTGGGCAGCGCCGTGGGGCCGGGCAGTGCCGTAGGGCTGACGCGCTTCCCGCAGGATGCACCTGGCCCTCAAGGCCTACCAGGAGCTGCTGCGGACGCTGCAGGAGATGGACCGCTCGCCCGAGGCGGCCGTGCGCGACAGCAGCCGGGTCATCAAGAGTGAGTGGGGCCGGGGGCCGGCGGCGGCGC